GGTTTCAGAGGTCCCCTGGGGATCCTGGACCACGTGCCCTGTGGGTGAGGGGGAACTGCGCTATCGTCTTTACTTCTATTTCCATAATCCTTTTCCTTTAAGATTTTACTTTAAAATAAATTTTACAGCATCACCTCATATAAAACACTAGCTTTCTTTGTTATAAGTAGGAAGTCCCCATAAAACAAATACAATAAAAGTAAAGTGGTATTGGGTTCTGGGTTTGGATCTTTGATTATCAGAGGCTCTGTGCCCCAGCCTGCTTTCACTTCCTCAAAAAGGAAAAGTGGGCGCATGTGAGAGCCAGGGAAAGATATACCCGCAGTGAATGAGACTTCCTCCTGGTGTAATCAGAACGGCTACAATAAGTTTGAAAGGCAATTGGTTCCCACCCCCTAACCCCCACAGAGTGAATCCGTGTCCCCTATGCTGTGTCCATGGACCACTTGAAATCCTTGGCGGATCACAGTCACCCGGGGTCTTGTTAAAACTCTGACGGCCCCTTCAGTGGGCACATTTGAAATGTGCATCTACCAAGAGTTTCCAAGTCACGCTGGCACTGCTGGTCTGGGGAACACAGTTCCCGTGTCACATTCTCTCTCACTTTGGGAATAACTGACAGGTGCAAACCAGAAACAATTGCAAACCCCAAACAGGGGCAAACTGCTCCCATCTGTGGTTGGCAATTTTCCTCCGAAAGAGCAACAAACCCAGGCCCAGCACTAGCATCGCTGAGAGCAGTTATACCTCCTGGAACCTCTCACTTCCTCCGGGGGGAACCTGAATGATAATTTGTAGCTGCCTGAGGACAGCTTTCTGACCTTAGTCAACCCTCCCCAGGACCCTCCCTTTAGAGCTGACCAAAGTCAGGGTGTGATTGGATAAGCGATGGCAGACTTTCTGGGAAAGCCCCATCCTTATAACTTCTCCAAGAGCATGTGAATTCCAGAAGATAGATGATGAGATTTTTTTTTTTATTTCGTTTGTTTGTTTGTTTGTTTGTTTTGAGCTGACTAAAGTCAGTGCAGTGATTAGATAAGCGATGGGAGAGTTTTATAAGCTGAAACTCCAAAATCCTATTCCTGGGCTTTTTAATTTTTTTAAACATAGTTTGTTTATTTATTTATTTATTTATTTATTTATTTATTTTTTACAGAGAGAAAGGGAGAGGGATAAAGAGAAACATCAATCAGCCACCTCCTGCACACCTCCTAATGGGGTTGTGCCCACAACCAAGGTACACGCCCTTGGCTGGAATCGAACCTGGGACTATTGAGTCTGTAGGCTGACGCTCTATCTACTGAGCCAAACCAGTAAGGGTAATTCCTGTGCTTTTTAAAAGGAACACATCTCCACTAACTAGAAGCCCACAGGGCAGCATTTGAACGTCTCCTGAGCCTCTGACACCCTTTGTGTATGAGAAGAGAGAAACCCGGGAAGAGAGCTCAGCCACACCACTGCCTCCCAACAGATCCAGCCACGTTCATTTCTCCCCATTGCCCTCTAGTGCGCTACCTGGTTTCTATGGAAACATGGAGTCTGTGCTCTGGACTTACAGCCTCAGCTCTGGCATGCAGCAGGGGCTGTGCTAATGAATGTCACCCCTTTTCCTCGCCCAGGGTCTGAATCATGTCAGAAACAAAACAAAGAACGTGACAGACGGAGACAAAATATCTCTCCCCTGGGAGAACGTGGCTCTGGCTTCCAAATGCTGACCCCCTTCCCTCCCAGGCACAGCAGTTGTGAGCACCCAGGTTCTCTCCCGAAGGGAAAAGGCAGGGTCAGAGGTGAGTAGTCCCAAAGTGTTCTTCTGAAATAACTCACGTCACCTCTCTCAGGGCCATGAATAAAGCAATGCCCTGAGCCAGGAGCGTGGCCTCACTGAGTCCCCTCCATGTGGAAGGACCCATGAGCAACAAAGAAGCCTTTCCCTGAACGAGAAGCTTCGTGTGCCCCTGTCTGTAATGCTTCGGTGTTGCCATCGGGTGTGGTCTGTTGGGAGGGGACACAGAAAGGGATGACAGCTCATTCTCACTATCAGGAGAGACTGCCTGACTTGCTTCGTGACTGAGCTTCCTGGGTGAGGCTCGGGGTGAGTCAGGAGGGCTGGTGTTGTTTAGCAGGCCTCCTCCCCACTGGGTCATCTGTGTTGTCTGCCCAGCGGAGAAGTGGTATGGAAAACCAGGGTCCGTGTTGACCGGCTGTGATATGGTGTCACTGGCAGACACTGGCAGTCCCGCGCTGTGGGTGCTGTCCCTGACTGCCGGGACCCAAGACAAGAAGGAGCCGTGGGCTGTTCCTGGTTTAGGAGGCAGGAATGGGGACCCTGCCTTGGAGACCCTGCAGCTCATCTTGTGACCTCAGGCCACTTTCTAGATTTTCCTAGGTTCCTGGTTAGCCTTTTATAAAGTGCGTGTATAAGCTTACAATGATTGAAATGCATGTAAAAATGGCAAAGGGAGATCATCTATACAGCACACATATAAAGAACTCTTACAATACAAAACTAAGGTGACAACTCCCATTCAAGGGCATATGCCTGGTTGCAGGTTTGATCCCAGCCCCAGGTGGGAGGTGTGTGGGAAGCTATCAATCAATGTATCACTCTTACATTAATGCTTCTCTCTCTCTCTCTCTCTCTCTCTATCTATCTATCTATCTCTCTATCTCTCTATCTCTCTCTCTTTCCCCCCTCTCTAAAAAAAAAAAAAGAAAGAAAAAGAAAGAAAAAATGGGCAAATTATTTGAACAAATATTTTACAAAAGAGATATTAGTGGCTAATAAACACATGAAAAGATGCTCAATATCATTTGTCACCAGGAGATGCTGATTGAAACCAAAGTTACTACTACATCCCCTAGGAATGGTTAATATTAAAAGATTGATAGTGACCATGTGTTGGCAAGGATGGGTATCAACTAAAACTTGTGGGGAGGCAAAATGGCACAACTATGGAAAATAGTTCGATGAATTTATTACAAGTTAAGCATATTCCTACCTTATGATGAAGCCATTTTGCTCCTAAGTACTTACCCAAGAGAAATAAAGCATACATCCACACAAAGATACGTACATGAATATTCATAACACCTTTATTTTGTAATAGTCAAAAAGGAAACAACTCAAATGTCCATCAACAAATGAATAAATAAACCATGGTATGGCCAACATATCTATTATTACTATTCATAAATAAGAAAAGAAACTATTAATATATACAACATGAATGAGTCTTAAAATAATCATGCTGAGTGAAAGAAGCCAGGTCAAACAGTAAAAACCCCAAACCCAGTACATCCGTGTAATTGCGTTTATATAAAATCCTGAAAATGCAAACTAACTATTATGACAGAAGCCAGATGAGTGGTTCCCTCAGATAGGGGTGTGGGCAAGGGTGGACCCAAGAGTACTCAGAGGGTCATAGGATGTTTGGGATCTTGATTGCAGTGAAAATTTCATGGGTGTAAATATATGCAGTTTATGTCAATCTACACTAATAAAAAGGAAACATGCAAATTAACCTTCTATCTGCTATGCCCACCAGCCAATCAGGAGTGAGTATGCAAGTTAATCCAACAAAGATGATAGCAGCCACAGAGCTAGAGCAAGCAGGAGGCTTAGGTTTCCCCTGGTGACAGAGGAAGCCAAGCTTCCTGCCAGCCCTGGCCTCCACTCAAAGAGTGGCTGAAGTAAAAAAAAAAAAAAAAAAAAAAAAGAGGGGCTGGGAGCCTGGGTAACTGGGGGGCCTGGCCAGCCAGGCTGGCCAGGCACCCCAGCGGGGTCTACACCCTGAAGGGGGTGTGGCCAGCCTGAAAACAGCCTTCAGCCCCTCACCCAGGCTGGCCAGGCACCCCAGCGGGGACCACATCCTGAAGAGGGTGTGGCCAGCCTGAAAACAGCCTTCAGCCCCTTACCCAGCAGGGACCCTCACCCCATGGTCCTGAAAACCACCAGACGCCCCTCACCCAGGCTGCCCCATGCCCCCCACCCTGATAGGAGACACCCTTTCAGGGCAAACCAGATGGCTCCCACCTGTGCACCAGGCCTCTGTTATACTAATAAAAGGGTAATATGCTAATTAGACTGGGAGACCTTTCAGGAGACCTTCCGGATGTCCTTCTGGACAAAGCCATGGTGGTGGGGCCAAGGTAGAGGGGTTAGAGGCCAAGAGGAGTGGGCAGTTGTGGGTTATCAGGCCAGTAGGGGGGTCATTGAGGGTGATCAGGCTGGCAGGGGGAGGGGAAGTTGGAGGTGAGCAGTCCATCAGTGGGGGTGATCAGGACAGCAGCGAGGGCAGTTTGGAGTGAGCAGGCCAGCAAAGGGGCAGTGCGGGCAAGCAGGCCAGTGGGAAGGGAAGGTGGAGGCCAGCAGGCCAGCAGGGGGGCAGTTGGGGGAGAGCAGGACAGCAGGCAGAGTGGTTAAGGGCAATCAGGCAGGCAGGCAGGTAAGTGGTTAGGAGCCAGCAGTCCCGGATTGCGAGAGGGATGTCCAACTGCCAGTTTAAGCCCGATCCCTGTAAACCAGCAGTAGGATATCCTTCGAGGGGTCCCAGATTGGAGAGGGTTCACCCCTCTTCCCTCCCACCCACCCCCCACTAGTTCATGCACCAGTCCACTAGTAAAGTTATAAAAGAAAGAAAGGAAAGGAGGTGGGAGGGAGGGGAGGAAGGGAGGGAGGGAGGGAAAAGGGGCTGATATACACAGTTACCTGGAAGAATTTTTCAAAATCATTGTAGGAATGGGGAGATGCCAGACATACAGTCCATATCATATGACTCCATTGTTTTATAATTCTAGAAAAAGTCAACTGCTCTCTAGTGACAAAAAGCAGATCAGTGTTGCCTGGAGTTGGGGGTGGAGAGAGGAACGGACTGTGAAGGGGAAGAGAAAACGTCAGGTGACGATAGAAATGTTCTGCATCGTGAGTGTGATGGCGGCTCCAGATGTACGCATGTGTATGAAACTCATGGGATTTTACAATTTAAATGGATTTGCTTATTATGGCAAATTATTCCTACCTGAAGAAAAATTACACCTACCTCAAGAAAGTGAGTTTCAAAGAAAAAGAGAAAGGGATTTGTTAAAAAAAAAAAAAAAAAAAAAAAAGGTTTTTGTTCAACTCCTGGTGCCAGGAATCACTCAAGTTGAGAATGGCAGCATGAAACATGAGCCCAAGAGGAGTCTTGCATGGGGAAAATATATAAATGAGCCTTTTAGCTTTATAAGAGCCAAACCCAACTCCCATTGCTGAATGGAGATGCTTAGGACAAGAAGAAACTAGCCTGCTTTGTAATAATATAAAAAACGTTGTGTTTACAAGGTCAGGGTGAAAACAAGGTGATATTGGCTCCATGCCTCAGGCCCCGCCACCCCCAGCGGTAGCGGTTCTGGATTTTCAGGAGGAAGGGCTGACCTAAGCAAGCCCTCATCGGACTGACGAAGCTGGCTCCTGAAATGGGGTGAGGCCAAAGTTGGCTTCTGAAATGGGGTGAGGGGCCAGGGGCTGAGGAGAGGCTGTCGGTACAGGACCCCAGAGGCAGCGACTTGAGCAGTGAACAACCAGGAAGGAAGAGATAAAGTCATCTGCTTACAATGTCCCCCTTTCTACACCGTATTCCCCCCTCCTTGACCTGCCACCCACAAGCCTTCGGTAAACGTAGGTTAAACGCTACACGTTGATATCAACAGTGTTTGAGGGCATTCGTGGGGGCCAGGATGGGGGCGGGCTCTGACCTTGTAGAGTGGCCTGTGGAGGACGGTGGGCGCTCACAGACATGATTACAGGGTGGCTAGGCGTGACCAACAGGGAGGCCCAGAGTGCAGGGAGGCCCAAAGGTGGCCGAAGCTAAGCAACCAGCAGGCTGGGGAAACATGTTAAGTACTCCTCGGGGATTCTCAAAACTACCGAGGGAAGAAATTGGATTTCCTCCATTCAAATGGGGTGAGTAAAAGCCCAGGCGGTATCACTGGGTATTTTAAGAAATGGTGACCTCCTAAAAGGTGGTAGCTTGGGGACTTTGGGACATAAAGAGAGGAACCGCCACTCCCCCCACCCCCAACCCCGCCCCCACCACCCCAACTCCTAAGGATGCTTGGACTGTCCTGAGCTGTTTTGGGACCATGAGATGGAAAAATAGATCATAAGGCCAGGTTCATCTCAGAAGTTCACCTGAGACCTGTGGTGTATGACCAAACCCTAATGAGTAAATGCTTTTGGCAGATCTGACGTCAGTCAATGGCTGGAATTTGTACCTGAAAGAGAGTTAAATGGGAAGGCAGCTGGGGGAAAACCATTTCCTCGTTGGGTTACCTAGCAAGAAGATCTAAAATGAAAGCCTTCACTCACCTCCCTCTTCTCATCCTCCTTTTTGGTAAGGAACATTTACATTTTTAAAATTATTTTAATTGTGTTTGTTGTCTTTGCGATTGAACCAACAGGCTTTAGCTGTGCCCAACAGATGGATTATTCTGGGGGTGAAATTTCCCCTCCAAAGGGGCGCACAGACACAAGGCATTTCAGTCTGTGAGGAAGGAGCACAGAGCAGTCGTAAGGAGGCCTCCGGACTAAGACTTGGGGTTCAGTAACCAGAGCTATTCCGAGGCCGGAGAAGAGTGACTTAGTAGGTCCTGAGGGCCCAATGGCCTTCTTTGGCCCCCAGATGTCATTTGGGTCCCAGGAAGCAGGTTTAATCCCTGCTCCTGGCATCAAGAGTTTTTTGCCCCCCCACATGTGGGAATTAAGGATTTAGCCCCGTAAATTTCTTACTGCCTCTGAGTATTGGTGCACCCTTCTATCAAATGTGTCTCTCGTATCTCCGTCCCAGGTCCTGTCAGGAATAGGGTAAGCCCTTGATGAATGAGAACAGTAGGAACAGGAGGAGCAGCAGTCAACATGACTGGCTGGCGGACCATTCGCTGGCCCCTGGAAGAGCAATTGCTTTTCTCCTCACCACCTAGGAATGCCTACGCTGGGACCGTCAGGGTGCAGAGCCAGATTCTGCTATCTAGAGATTCCCAGACCCAGGGGGAATCAGGGAGCCTCTCAGCAGCTTTCCATACTCGAGGGTTTAGAAATTGCTTTCTCTCTAAAACTTTTTCTTTTAATCATGTGTTTAACCGATTGTCAATGTCAGAGTTCCAAAGACAATTAAGGGTCCTAGAAAACTTATCAATGGATCACTAAGCATTTACTACCCGCTACGTCCAAAGGTGTCTAAGAGGTTAAAAAATAATATATATATATATATATATATATATATATATATATATATATATATATATATATAACTTTGATGATCATCATAGCCCTTAGGGCTGCAGTTCTCAGCCTGTGGGTCGTGACCCCTTTGGGGCTCCAATGACCCTTTCACAGGGGTTGCCTAAGACATCCTGCATATCAGATATTTACATTAGGATTCATAACAATAGCAAATTTACAGTTATGAAGTAGCAACAAAAATAATTTTATGGTTGGGGTCACCACAACATGAGGAACTTTATTAAAAGGTCTCAGCATTAGAAAGATTGAGAACCACTGCCTTAGGGCAAAGATCATCTCTATTCTTCTTACTCTTTAAAAAGTTCATGTGATTGCAGTTTTTTGGAGTTTTAATAGACATTTAATGAGACTTCCTAATTTCATCGTTCTTTAAACACACCCTTTCCCTTCTCTTCCTTATACCTGTCAACAGCTTTGCCATGTAATGAAAAATTGGGACAATTGCCTTAAACTGTAAAAAGACAAAGAAGTCTATTTCCAGGTTATATCAGCGCCACCTGGTGACAGATTGACAATTCTATAACATAAATGATATTAATTCTTGGTATTCATGAACTCTATGTCATACTTTAGTAACATTTTCCCAGTTTTGTCTGTTCAGTTTTTAACTTTATTTAATGTGAGTTCTGTGTGTGTGTGTGTGTGTGTCTGTGTGTGCGTGTGTGTGTTTAAAGGAGTTATGCATTTTTGTTTTTAATGTTGTCAACTAAATAGTAAGTCCTCACCTTGTTAATAAGTTCTGCAACTTAAAGCAAAATGATATATATTGAAACCAGTTTTACATAAACTAATTGATGCAAACAGGAGTTAAGGTCCTACATCTCATCAACGTTATTGAAAAAAAATGTTGAATGAAACAACGTTATTAAAGAACCTGTTGCATTTATTTTTCAGAAAAGAATTAATTGGGTACTAATTACAGCTGACTCGTGAACAACACAGGTTTGACTTTTAAAATCCGAGTAAAAGTGGACTCAGGCAGTTCAAACCTGTGTTGTTCAAGGGTCACCTGTTGTATTAACTAACTAGCGGCCCTGTACTTGGATTTGTGTACCAGTGGGCTCCTTGGCCTGGCCTGTGCCCTCTCGCAATCCAGGACCCCTCGGGGCTGCCAGAGGCCTGGTGCCCAGATTCAGCCCAATCCCCACAGGCCAGGTGGAGGGACCAGACTGGTCTATGAATCAGTTTAATCTCTTCCTGCCCTCCCTCTTCCCTCTTCCCTCTGAAATCCATCAGTCTGTTCCATGTTTCCATGCCTGTGTGTTAAACATCTGCCCCCTGGTGGTAAGTGTGTATACAGCTACTGTCAAACAGTCAAAAGGTAATTTAGGCTTTATTAGTCCTATCTAATAACAAAGGAATGTGCTAATTGACCCTTGCACCATTGCCAAGATGACAGTAACCACAGGCAATAAGGAGGGAATATGCTAATTGACCGTCATGTCCCATAGCCAATAAGGAGAAAATATGCAAATTTAATGCCACACCCTCAAAGATGGCAGTGCCCACAGTCACAAGATGGTAACACACAGTTCCTTCAGCCCATTGGGACACCTGCCTCCAGAGTCCCCCAATCCCCTTAGCCCCCCAGCGGCCCAGGGCCACTCAAGGCTCAGGTAACCAGGGCCGGCTGAGACTTGCGCTACTGGTAGTGATAGCAGAAGAGGTGTGATGAGAGCATCACCTTCCCCTGATTACATGGTTGCCTCACACCCCTGAGGGCTCCCAGACTGTGAGAGGGTGCAGTCTGGGCTGAGGGACAACACCCCGTACACGAATTTTATGCAGCAGGCCTCTCTACAGATACGTAGGTAGATAGATAGATAGATAGATAGATAGATAGATAGAAATGGTCATTGTATAGTTAGTGTTCTGCCTTCTGTAACTAGGCATCTTTGTTCTTCCAGCCATCGCAACTACTGCAGACCATGACATAACCCCAATTCTGCCAAACACCACGACCACCCTGTCTCCCCAATCAACAGCCACCACAGCGGCTCCTGGAAGCACCACCACCCAACCTCCTAGAACTACCACCAGCGAGGCTCCAGAAACCACCACGACTGCGGCTATTGGGACCACCACCACCCAACCACCCAGAACCACCACCTCTGAAGCACCCGGAACCACCACCACCACTAATCCCAGAACCACCACCACTGCGACTCCAGACACCACCACCATCCAACCACCCGTAACCACCACCACCGCTGCTCCCGGAACCACCACCAACGCGGCTCCAGAAACCACCACCACCGGGGCTCCCGGAACCAACACCACCTCGGATCCCGGAACCACCACAACCGCAGATCCCGGAACCACCACCACCCAACCACCCGTAACCACCAGCACCACTGTTCCCAGAACCACCACCACCGCGGCTCCCGGAACCACCACCACCGCGGATCCAGACATCACCACCACCGCGGCTCCCGGAACCAACACCACCTTGGCTCCCGGAACCACCACAACTGCTGCTCCCGGTACCACCACAACTGTGGCTCCCAGAACCACAACAACTGCTGCTCCCGGAACCACCACCACCCTGGCTCCCGGAACCACCACCACCACGGCTCCCGGAACTACAACCAACATGGCTCCCGGAACCACCACCACCCAACCACCCGTAACCACCACCACCGCTGCTCCCGCAACCACCACCACAGCTGCTCCCGGTACCACCACCACCACTGCTCCCGGAACCACCACAACCATGGCTCCAGACACCACCACCATTGCTGCTCCCGGAACCTCCACCACCGCGGCTCCCGGAACCACCACAACCACTGCTCCCGGTACCACCACCACCAAGGCTCCAGACACAACCACCACCGTGGCTCCAGGAACCACCACCACTGCTGCTCCTGTAACAACCACCTCTTCTGCTCCTGGAACCACCACCACCGCGGCTCCCGGAACCACCACCACCACGGCTCCTGGAACCACCACCACCCAACCACCTGTAACCACCACCACCACTGCTCCCGGAACAACAACCACCGCAGCTCCCAGGACCACCACCAACATGGCTCCAGACACAACCACCACCGTGGCTCCAGGAACCACCACTACTGCTGCTCCTGTAACAACCACCTCTTCTGCTCCTGTGACCACCACCACCGCTGCTCCCAGAACCACCACCACCCAACCACCCATAACCACCACCACCCAACCACCCATAACCACAACCACCGCTGCTCCCAGAACCACAACCACCGCGGCTCCCGGAACCTCCACAACTGCGGCTCCAGACGCCACCACCACCGCGGCTCCAGATACCACCACAAACACTGCTCCCGGTACCACCACGACTTCGGCTCCTGGAACCACCACCACCACAGCTCCCAGAACCACCACCACCGCTGCTCCAGGAACTGCCACCACCGCGGCTCCAGACACAACCACCACCATGGCTCCAGGAACCACCACTACTGCTGCTCCTGTAACAACCACCTCTTCTGCTCCTGGAACCACCACCACCGCGGATCCCGGAACCACCACCACCACAGCTCCTGGAACCACCACCACCCAACCACCTGTAACCACCACAACCACACCTCCCGGAACCACCACCACCCAAACACCCATAACCACCACCACCGCTGCTCCCAGAACCACCACCACTGCTGCTCCCGGAACAACAACAACCGCGGCTCCTGGAACCACCACCACCCAACCACCTATAACCACCACCACAGTGGCTCCTGGGACCACCACCCCTGCTGCTCCCAGAACCACCACCCAACCACCCATAACCACTACCACCGTGGCTCCCGAAACGACCACTACCGCTGCTCCAGGAACCACCACAACCGTGGCTCCTGGGACCACCACCACCCAACCACCCGTAACCACCACCACCACTGCTCCCGAAACCACCACCACCGCTGCTCTCGGAACCACCACAACCGCAGCTCCTGGGACCACCACCACCCAACCACCCGTAACCACTACCACCCAACCACCCGTAACCACCACCACCGCAGCTCCCGGAACCACCACCACCGCTGCTCCCAGAACCACCACCCAACCACCCGAAACCACCACCACCACCACTGCTCCCGTAACCACCACCACCACGGTTCCCGGAACCACCACCACCGCGGCTCCCATAACCACCACCACCGCGGCTCCTGGGACCACCACCACCCAACGACCCGTAACCACCACCACCCAACCACCCGTAACCACCACCACCACGGTTCCCGGAACCACCACCACCGCTGCTCCTGAAACAACCACCACCGCGGCTCCTGGGACCACCACCACCCAACCACCCGTAACCACCACCACCCAACCACCCGTAACCACCACCACCGGGGCTCCTGGAACCACCACCACCGTGGTTCCCGGAACCACCACCACCGCTGCTCCCGGAACCACCACCACTGCTGCTCCCGGAACCACCACAACCGTGGCTCCTGGGACCACCACCACCCAACCACCCGTAACCACCACCACCCAACCACCCGTAACCACTACCACCACGGTTCCCGGAACCACCACCACCGCTGCTCCTGAAACAACCACCACCGCGGCTCCTGGGACCACCACCACCCAACCACCCGTAACCACTACCACCCAACCACCCGTAACCACCACAACCGCGGCTCCTGGAACCACCACCACCGTGGCTCCCGGAACCACCACCACCGCGGCTCCTGGGACCACCACCACCCAACCACCCATAACCACCACCACCCAACCACCCGTAACCACCACCACCGCGGTTCCCGGAACCACCACCACCGCGGCTCCTGGGACCACCACCACCCAAACACCCGTAACCACTACCACCCAACCACCCGTAGCCACCACCACCACGGTTCCCGGAACCACCACCACCGCGGCTCCTGGGACCACCACCACCCAAACACCCGTAACCACTACCATCCAACCACCCGTAACCACCACCACCGCTTCTCCCGGAACCACCACCACTGCTGCTCCCGGAACCTCAACAACCGCGGCTCCTGGAACCACCACCACCCAACCACCCATAACCACCACCACTGCTGCTCCCGGAACCTCAACAACCGCGGCTTCTGGGACCACCACCACTGCTGCTCCCGGAACCACCACCACCCAACCACCCATAACCACCACCACCGCGGCTCCCGGAACCACCACCACCGTGGCTCCCGGAACCACCACAACCGCGGCTCCTGGGACCACCACCACCCAACCACCCGTAACCACTACCACCCAACCACCCGTAACCACCACCACCACAGTTCCCGGAACCACCACCACCGCTGCTCCTGAAACAACCACCACCGCGGCTCCTGGGACCACCACCACCCAACCACCCATAACCACTACCACCCAACCACCCGTAACCACCACCACCGCAGCTCCCGGAACCACCACCACCGCTGCTCCCAGAACCACCACCCAACCACCCGAAACCACCACCACCACCACTGCTCCCGTAACCACCACCACCACGGTTCCCGGAACCACCACCACCGCGGCTCCCATAACCACCACCACCGCGGCTCCTGGGACCACCACCATACAACGACCAGTAACCACCACCACCACTCAACCACCCGTAACCACCACCACAACGGTTCCCGGAACCACCACCACTGCTGCTCCTGAAACAACCACCACCGCAGCTCCTGGGACCACCACCACCCAACCACCCGTAACCACCACCACCCAACCACCCGTAACCACCACCACCGGGGCTCCTGGAACCACCACCACCGTGGTTCCCGGAACCACCACCACCGCTGCTCCTGGAACCACCACCACTGTGGCTCCCATAACCACCACCACCGCGGCTCCTGGGACCACCACCACCCAACTACCCATAAGCACCACCACCGCGGCTTTAGGAACCACCACCACCGCTTCTCCCGGAACCACCACCACTGCTGCTCCCGGAACCTCAACAACCGCGGCTCCTAAAACCACCACCACCCAACTACCCATAAGCACCACCACCGCGGCTCCCGGAACCACCACCACCGCGGCTCCCGGAACCACCACCACTGCTGCTCCCGGAACCACCACCACCGCGGCTCCTGGGACCACCACCACCAAACCACCCGTAACCACCACCACCCAACCACCCGTAACCACCACCACCACGGTTCCTGGAACCAGCACCACCGCTGCTCCTGAAACAACCACCACCGCGGCTCCTGGGACCACCACCACCCAACCACCCGTAACCACCACCACCACGGTTCCTGGAACCACCACCACCGCTGCTCCTGAAACAACCACCACCGCGGCTCCTGGGACCACCACCACCCAACCACCCGTAACCACCACCACCACGGTTCCTGGAACCACCACCACCGCTGCTCCTGAAACAACCACCACCGCGGCTCCTGGGACCACCACCACCCAACCACCCGTAACCACTACCACCCAACCACCCGTAACCACCACCACCCAACCACCCGTAACCACCACCACCACGGTTCATGGAACCACCACCACCGCGGCTCCCGGAACCACCACCATCGTGGCTCCCGGAACCACCACCACCGCGGCTCCTGGGACCACCACAACCCAACCACCCATAACCACCACCACCCAACCACCCGTAACCACCACCACCGGGGCTCCTGGAACCACCACCACCACGGTTCCCGGAACCACCACCACCGGGGCTCCTGGAACCACCACCACTGCGGCTCCCATAACCACCACCACCGTGGCTCCTGGGACCACCACCACCGCTGCTCCCGGGACCACCACTACCGCGGCTCCTGGGACCACCACCACCCAACCACCCGTAACCACCACCACCACGGTTCCCGGAACCACCACCACCGCTGCTCCTGGAATCACCACCACGGTTCCCGGAACCACCACCACCGGGGCTCCTGGAACCACCACCACTGCGGCTCCCATAACCACCACCACCGTGGCTCCTGGGACCACCACCACCGCTGCTCCCGGGACCACCACTACCGCGGCTCCTGGGACCACCACCACCCAACCACCCGTAACCACCACCACCACGGTTCCCGGAACCACCACCACCGCTGCTCCTGAAACAACCACCACCGCGGCTCCCGGAACCACCACCACCGTGGCTCCCGGAACCACCACCACCGCTGCTCCTGGAACCACCACCACTGCGGCTACCATAACCACCACCACCGCGGCTCCTGGGACCACCACCATCCAACCACCCGTAACCACCACCACCGCTGCTTCTGTAACCACCACCACTGCGGCTCCCATAACCACCACCACCGCTGCTCCCGGGACCACCACCACCGTGGCTCCTGGGACCACCACCACCGCGGCTCCTGGGACCACCACCACCCAACCACCCATAACCACCACACCCCACACCACCCGTAACCACCACACCCGGCTCCTGGAACCACCCACTACCGCGGCCTCCTGGGGACCCCACCACCCAACCACCCCGTAACCACCACCACCGCTGCTTCTGTAACCACCACCACTGCGGCTCCCATAACCACCACCACCGCGGCTCCTGGGACCACCACCACCCAACCACCCGTAACCACCACCACCGCTGCTTCTGTAACCACCACCACTGCGGCTCCCATAACCACCACCACCGCGGTTCCCGGAACCACCACCACCGCAGCTCCCGGAACCACCAGCACCTCAGCCCCCGGAACCACCACCACCGCGGCTCCAGGAACCACCACCACTGCTGCTCCTGTAACAACCACCTCTTCTGCTCCTGGAACCACCACCACCCAACCACCTGGAAGTAGCACCATCACCACTAGCACCAACACCACTACCATGCATCCCACAACCACCACCACCACCAGCACCACGATAGCACCTACTTCCAGCAGTGTCATTTCACCAGGTAAGAGCAACACCCTCAAAGACACCTCACTGAGCAGTCAGCGTTGTGGAAGGTGGCAGGCAAGCATGTTCTGCTGGGATAGGGAAGTGGTTATAGAGACTCAGGGTTTCCTTGATATGAACCCTTGGAATTCAAAATTCTGAGTCACAACGGCTAGCTAGTAGTGATGGCCGAGGCCCTAAAAAAATTATCCACCATTTCATTCTTTTCTCCTTTCCTTACTATCCATCCTCCCTCAAGCTATTTGGCAGATGTGGAATATTTTTATGAACTTGGACTTTATGAAAGGCATTTCTCTAACTGCCCCACCCCTAAGAGTTTTCAAAAATGGTCTCGGCTTCTCTGTGAAGGCCAGGTCCAAATATTACCAACACTTCAGCCCTGCCTCCCTCCCCCTACCTGGTCTAGCTCCTTTACCTAAGGAATGAGTCAGCTCTACCCTTATTTCTTCTCAGGTGTTATTGAAAATGAGGACAAGTTATGATGGTGGGATTTGAGCCTGAGGGATAAAAAGCCAAGCAGCAGCAGGGCTCAGACGGTCCTAGACATGACCGGTCCATTGTCCAAAGGCCAGATGTGCGGGGAGGACTGTCTAAGAATTGAAACAAACCACTTGACTCATTTCCCAAAGCTTGGTCCAGCATACAGGTCAGCAGACTTTATCGATAAAGTCAGACTAGTAAATATTTTAGATTTTGTGTGTCATAACAGGGACTTTCTTGCAACTGCTCCACTCTGCCATTTTGACATAGAAGCAGTTATAGTCAATCTATAAATGATTGAGCCTGGCAGTGCTGCACCAATAAAACTATATAAGAACAGAAGATTGACCAGATTTGGCTCATGAGTCATCGTTTGTCAACCTCTGGTCTAAAAGAATCCTCAAACCTAGGCTTGAAGGGACTGGATAAAGCCCTGTTGCTCTCAGACAGGGGAACAGAGGCCTCAAGAGGGCAGCTACTTGCCTGAGGTCACAGAACACGTTGAGTCTCCCTACACTTACATCTTTCAGCTTTCCCAATGTTTTCTGATAGATCTAAAAAAAAAAAAATGGTGCTTAAGCAAATGGAGCCCTTATGTAGGACCTGGCTCCCAGTCTTTTGTGTTTGGAGGGGCCACTAGTTATGAAAAAAAAGAAGCTTAAACAGGGTAAAAGGATGGTCAGTGAAAACTAAATCTGCCTCCTGTCCTTAGGCTCCAGGTTTCTAGTTTCCTTCCCCAGAGGCCAGTTGTATGGCCAATTTCTTGTGTTCTTGTGTCTCCCTCCATAGATAACCTATATAAATATAAACATACATATTTGTGTGTTTTTGTGTATTCCCCCTTCCCATACATTTTTATTGATTTTAGAGAGCAAGAAAGGGAGAGGGAGAGAGAGAAACATCAGTGATTAGAAGAAATCATCGATTGGCTGCCTCCCATGGGTACACACGGGAGGCAGTCAATCAGGCATGTACCATGACCCAGGGCATTGAACCAGTGGCCTCTTAGTTCGTGGGTCGATGCTCAACCACTGAGCCACCAGCTGGGTGTGCATTGCCCCTTTTAATCACAGAAAGAGTATGTTATACACATTGTATTTTATATGTAGATTTTTTTAATAAGCTTTATCTACCTAGGTGTTCATAAGCAATCAGACAGCTGTGAAGGTTGTCAGACACTTCATTTATTCAGAAATCAAAACTCAGAATCATTTCTTTTGACATAGATGAATAAAATGGCCAGCCAAGGTCATCATTTAGCCACTGACCTAACTTTCTTACTTGGATCCCATCTGATCTCTGGAGATAAAAAATAAAAAAAATAAAAATAAAAAGACACTGCACCCTGCCTGGTCTGGGGTCCCAGCCAGCAGTGCAGAAAACAATTGCAATATTAATCCTAACCATTTATTCAAGTAATCCACTCAGAACGCCAGAGAGTGGAGTGTCATTTCATCAATTTCTCTTAGAATTGGCACTGACTCAGTCCACATTCTCCCCTTAGCATTCCTTCCTTTCATTATGGATCTGCATATCATGCATGCTAACCACAACATAACATCTAGTTTCTTTTTGGGGTTTCTTGCCTGTTCATCTCCATAAGACAGTTACTTATACCTTCCTTAAAATATATTCTTTCTGTAATTTGAACGAACATATGCACCCCTATGTTCATAGCGGCTTTATTTACAATAGCTGAGATCTGGAAACAGCTCAAGTGCCCACCAGTAGATGAGTGAATAAAAAAGCTGTTGCACATTTATACAATGAAATACTACTCTGCCATACAAAGGAAGAAAACATCACCCTTTTAGACAGCAGGGATGGACTCAGAGGACATTATGCTCAGTGAGATAAGCCAGCCAGAGAAAGACAAGTACCACATGATTTCACTCATATTTTGGCTTTAGTTAACACACTGAACTACCAAGCAGACTAGAGCCAGATTCATAAATAGAGAGTAGGAAGACAGCTAGGGAGGAAGAGTGTTGAAGGGATTGAGCAAAAATGAGAGAGGTTAGAGAGAGAGAGAGAGAGAGAGAGAGAGAGAGAGAGAGAGAGAGAGACTCATGGACATGGACTACAGTGTGGGGATTGCCGGTGGGGGTGGGGGTGGGGGTGGGAGTGGGGGTGGAAGAGAACATAGAGATAAATGGTGATGGAGAAACAAAATACATTTTTTTTTAAATATGATGATTTCTACAGAATAGTTGGGGGACCCCTATCTGGGGTTAGAGGGTCAGACACCAAGGCTCTGGAGGTCCCCTGAGGTGCAGAGATTCCTGGCTCCTGGGAATTAGAAGACTGCTCTGAGCACAGCCTTGCCACCAAACTCCGACCTTTACTGTTCACAAGCACCTGATCCAGAATTTCAGCAACAAGCTCCCTAGACACATAAGGAAATATGTATTTGTTTCTGGCTTCTCTCAGGGTGTGCGCTGGAATAACACAACCAAGGGATAGAAGGCTCCCAGGAGGGAGGCATGAACATTTAAAAGTATGTTTCTGGGTGTTATTTGTTGTTCTGTGGAGTTTTCACCTCTTTCTCCTCCATCTCCAGGTCTCTGCAAAAACAATTCCTGTAGCAGTGATGCTTCGTGTGTGGAACTGAATAATAAGTACTTCTGCCTGTGTATTGATGGGTATTACTATAATTCTTCCACATGCAAGAAAGGTGAGTTAGAAAGGATGAACCGTGCAGAGCTGCATCTCATACTTAAAGTGGAATAGGTCCTAGCCGGTTTGGCTCAGTAGATAGAGTGAACTCAAGGGTCCCAGGTTCGATTCCTGTCAAAGGCCTATACCTGGGTTGCATGCTCGGTCCAAAGTGCAGGAAGCAGCCAATCAATGATTCCTCATCATTCTTTCTCTTCCTCTCCCTTCCTCTCTGAAATCAATAAAAATATATTTAAAAATAATGGAAGTAAGGAAAGAAGGAAGGAAGGAAGGAAGGAAGGAAGGAAGGAAGGAAGGAAGGAAGGAAGAAAGAAAGGAAGGAAGGAAGGGAAATAGAAAACTTAATGGCAAAAGAGCTTCCAGGATAGGAGAGATAGAGGAACATTTGGAGGCAACAAAGGCCAGTAAACTAGAAGGATGCCTCCTGCCTTTGTATCTGGGGAACCAAGTGTGAGAGGAAATGGGCTGTCAGGTTTGTGGGCTAGTCCTGAGGTCTGGGAGTGGATGTGTCCCTTCACTTTTCCTGTCCAAGGGAACGGTGCCATGAGGACAAAATGGAAATGACAGGTGGTCGAAGGCCCTGAGAAGGTACAGCAATGGCACAAAGTAGTGCTGTCATGTGGGGACCCTGCGGCAGAATGAGGGCAAGTGCCTAAGACCACGTGGTCAGAAGGCATGGTTGGTTCTCTGCCTTAGGGTTCGCTGGCTCCATAAGCAAACCCCATATTTAGAGACGTCAGAGCCTCTCAGGTCTAGAAATGGACACTAGGAGCAAATGGCCATAAACTTGACATACATCTTTCTGGTTAGGTCAGCTGGGTGCTATGAAGTTTCCAAGGCTGTTTCCTGTAATAAACTTCTTTGTTTCACGAATGAGAAATCCCCCACTTGCCAGAGCAGATCAATTGTATAGAAAACAAATGCATAGTATATTGGCCACGGGGATTTAGAGGTATTTCAAAAGCCGAAAGGATGTTGTTTTCCGTGTTAATAATCTCATTTCTAGGGATTCTCTCTAAGTCAATGACCCCAAATATAGAAAGGCGTGGGCATGAATATGTTCATTGCAACCTCCCCCCTTTTAAATGATTAGAAGTGCTAAAAAGCAAAAAATAAAAATGACTACATTGATGAAGGGAACATATATTTCACAGAATATTATTCAGCTTTAAAAAATAATAGCTATAAAGACAAGGTAATAATTTGGAAAAATGTTTAAAATGCTTTTTATTTAATAACTAGAGGCCTGGTGCATGAAATTCGTGCATGGGACGAGGGGGTCCCTCAGCCTGGCCTGCATCCTCTCTAATCTTGGACATCCCTATCACAGTCCAGAACCACTGGCTCCTAACCTCTTGCCTGCCTGCCTGCCTTCCTGATCACTCCTAACCACCTCTGCCTGCCAGCCTGATCACCCCCTAACTGCCTCTGCTTGCCAGCCTGATCTCCTCCTAGCTGGTTTCCTGCTGGCCTGATCACCCCCTAACTGGTCCCCTGCTGGCCTGGTTCCCCCCCTAACTGCCCCCAGCCGGCCTTGTCACCACCTAACTGCCCCCCTCTGCTGACCTGGTTGCCCCCTAATTGCTTGCTCCCCTGTCAGCCTGATCGCCCCTAACTGCCCCTGTCTTGGCCCACCACCATGGCTTTATCCAGAAAGAAGTTGAAGATGTCTGGTCAACCATCATATTACCCTTTTATTATGTAAATAAGTCTATATAAGTAGAGAAGATTCATGCTATAAACTTGGAATTATAATGATATAGACTATGCATAAGAAAAAAAGGAGCTGGGAGAAATACAGAGTCCCCGTTATCTGAAAGCAGAGCTTGCCACTGAAACCTTTTGTACACCGAAATGGTGCAACATGAAGAAGCAATTACCTCAGGAGACATCCTGCTAACAAAGCACAAAATACATAGAGATGAAGCGCAGACACCGTGCAGAGGCAGTTTGGTGCCGGGATGCTGAGGGGTGTTTCTAGGGAAAGAGTTGGTGGGCCACGCTCACTGCTCAGGGTGTGCACTGCCTCTATAGCAGCTTGCTGCAAAATCCTGACCGCTGCTGTTTGCTCAGGGGTTAGAGCATTGGCCCGCGGACTGAAGGGACACAGGTTTGATTCAGGTCGAGGCCACATACTATGGTCGCAGGCTTGATCCCCAGCTCTGAACTGATGTGTTTTCTCTATCACACCGATGTTTCTCTCTCTGTATCACTCCCCCACCTTTCCACTCTCTCTAAGAATCAATGGAAAAGAAATACCCTCGGGTGAGGATTAACAGATTAATTCATTACTTAAAATTCACAACACTATTTTTCATTTTCACCATTTTTTATTTTATTTTAAAAAAGCAAAAATCCTCTTAGGGTTTCTTTTGTTCACGAAACAGGTCTTGATGTAGGTAGGCCTTTCATCAAAGAGAAGTGTCATAAAGTGAACTTTATCATTATTATTATTATTATTATTATTATTATTATTATTATTGATTTTTTACAGAGGAAGAGAGAGGGAGAGTTAGAAACATCGATGAGAGAGAATCATCCCTTAGCTACCTCTTGCACACCCCCTACTGGAGTTGTGCCCGCAACCAAGGAACATGCCGTTGACCGGAATCGATCCTGGGACCTTTCAGTCCTCAGGCGGACACTCTATCCACTGAGCCAAACCGGTTTCGGCTAGAGCGAACTTTTGAAAAGTCGGGAATACCTTATACCAAAGTGAAAAATGGTTGTGTTAGGTTGGGTAGGATTTGGGGTAGCATTGATCGGATTTCCAGGCTTCCTGCCACAGCATCATACTGCTTAGAATTTTTTTAAAGTATGTTTTTTAAAAAAGTGGAAATGACCCTCTTTTCATTAAACATCACAGAAGGATTCTGCTTGAATTTCAGGAAAGGTTTTTCCTGGAACGATTAAAGTAAACGTGTCAGAAACATCTGACTTGCAAGATGAAAAGTCGATGGCCTATGAAAACTTATATATGGATACTGTAACATTTGTAAGTATTTTCCAACCTTCCTTCCTGTGTAACACTGAGTCGCAGAGCATAGCGCTGATACTCAGGTGGTACAGCTGTTCCAGTGGTTGTTGAGGTAGCGAAATGCACTCTCACTGGTTGGTGAACAGCAGCTGTCCTGAGTCCCTGGTCCCTTCCTCGGACACTGGGCCTCCCCAAGGTCCTCGCTCCAGCCCTGCCACACGGGTCGTTACATAAGCTCTTAGAATGTTTATAATGATGTTTTAAAATGCCTTATTTCCACAGTATTGAAGAGAAAGCATTTTAAAGATGTTGCCTTTTTTCCCCCCAATTCCAATTTGCATACTTTTCTGAACTAGCGTGAGTTTGTTTGTTTGTTTGTTTGTTTGTTTTTTTAATTGATTTTTTACAGAGAGGAAGAGAGAGAGATAGAGAGTTAGAAACATTGATGAAAGAGAGACATCGATCAGCTGCCTCTTGCACACCCCCTACTGGGGATGTGCCCGCAACCAAGGTACATGCCCTTGACTGGAATCAAATCTGGGACCCTTCTATCCACTGAGCCAAACCGGTTTTGGCTAGCGTGAGTTTTTTAACAACTGGGAGAGGAACTCCATCTGAAGGCGCATCTGGTTCTTTTTCTCCCTATTGTTAAAAAAGCCAGGGCGCACAATTGCTCCTTTCCGTCGTGGTTATCGTGAGCGACTGCGTCCACGCGAGATCTCCACGCAAGGGCCACGGCGTGGGTCCTGGAGGGGCTTGCGGGGGCATCCCGCCAGTGTCTCTCTAAGTGTAGCCAGATTTTACCATAAAGACTAAGGCCTTATTCTATGACGATATACTTCCATTTGGAATTACACGTTACGAAAGAGTTTTGCTATTAGAATTGATAACGTATAAAGAAAGAGTATCCAAATGACTTGACAGATTGTACAGAGAGAAGTAGTGCCCAGGATGGAACAGCTGGTGCTGGGCGCTGCTGGGATAAAACCCCTGGCTGCCCTGGTCCCGGTCATGCCCCCTGAGCCTGATGGACCAGCTGCCCGTGACGTCTCCTCTTATTTGGTCCACGTTCCCATTTGTCAGCTTGATGAGAGTCAGCACGTGGAAGAAGGCAACGTCAAGGGGCTCCTCTTTCTGGAGAGCCCTGGATTTTCTCGTGTACTGGCCACTGTGGCCACCAAAAGGCCCCTCCAGCTTAGGGACTCGGTCTCAGTCAGGTCTTGATGGCCCCAGGGACACCAGCAAGGGGAGAGAGCGTTCTTATCATTTCCAAGAGGCTGTTAATCCAAAGGGGATGGGCCAGAACTGCCTTGCAACTCCGAGAGATAGGAACATACGTAGAGACAGTTTACCTCTCAGCAGACTTGGTAGCTGGGGCAGTCCCAGCTCAGACCTTGAGAAGTTTCCCAGGATCCATTGCTTTACCCAGCTGGACAACAAATGGATAGTCCCTGATGTGGAGTTGCTCTGTTGTATGCGGGACCTGGCGTTGCATGTGCAATATTTCTAATTCACAAAAGAGCCCCCTGGGGGAGAGAATACTGTGCTGCCTATTTTGTGGTTTAGGCAGTCAAGGGCCGGGAAAGTGAAGTGGCCCACTGAAGGTCACCAGGCTGATGAGGGAGAAGGTTGGGATTTGAACCCAGATCTGCCTGACCTCACACTTGCCTTCTCTGCTCTTGCTGGCTCACTTGTGCAGTGGCGGCCAGGCAGGCCTGATGGGATAGCACATGCCTTCTCACCCCTGGTGTACTTGCCTTGCAGGCAACTTGAAGAAGTGTCCCTTAGGTGAATTGATGCTTGCAGGGAGCAGGTTTATAGATAAGTTGAATAAATACGCAAAACTTTCCCATGACTTTAAACAGACAAACCTAATCAGTTAGTCACCTTAATTTTTAAGAGTACGATCATTGATTTTGCTTTTTTAGGTTTCCAGCTTTTTCTTGAATAAAAAAAGCTTGAAACCTGACTTACATTAAATTCTTACCATTTTACAGCAAACATTACTGAAAGGTGTTAGAGAGCATATCAAGAGTAAATAATTTCCTCTGATGAACCATGTGTATTTATATACAGGAGTTTAGAAATTTGTGTTAAATATTTGTGTCAAAACCTAGATTATGTATCACTTTCCCTGCCTCTGTGTAGTTGTTACTAAACTTGTTCTTCTCTGCCACAGTTTAAAGGTACATTTGCAAATTCGGATTTTGGACAGACGGTGATTCATAAAGTGAGGTAAGGCTGCTATGGACCGGTGGGGTACTTTGGAGGCGGGTGTGCGTTTGCTTGACTTCTCATCCTCTCTTGAGTTCCCTGTGCCGCACTAAGGCCGCCAGTGGGGAGTCACAGGTCAGGAAGAGGTGGTCAGCCTGATGTCAAACTGGCCTTGGTGTGGACGGGCAGAGGGTAGCAATGGGGACAGCAGGATGCTGTCTGTGATTGGCAAGTCAGCAATGTGCATGCATGGTCCAGGGCATCACCTGGAAACGCTGGTTTGGCTTGACCCCTTGGCCAACAAACCTGTCCTGGTCAATCCCCAAGATGTGCAGTCCAGGAGGGCCAGGAAAAGGACGAGTGGCTCATGGTCATCTCTTCCCTCGGATGGGGGGAGTGAGGGACACAGCACCCACATCCCACCTGCGGCTACTGAAGAACCAGGAGTGAGCTGTTCCTGCATCAAAGACAAGCACTTGTTGAGCACACCAATCTGCAGTGACCAGTGTAGAGGGCTATTCAGGGCCGCAAGGAGCCGAAGGGTTCTCAAGAAGTTAGCGGTTCTGTATCAGCCTTCTCGGAAGCACATTCACACACAGGTGCTGCAGCCCGATGAAAGGGTGCTCTAAGATGAATGAAGTTGTGCAGGAACAGCAGCCCTAATGAGTTCATTTTTTATGGTTTGACTGTTGCATCTATCTCTATAAGCTTTGTCACAGTCTTGGCAGAATACAGTACAGTGTATATTTATGCATACAATTCAGAGAAAGCCTCCTGACGTTGGTGAGTTTTGAGCGGATGGTGAATGAGGGGCAAGTGTGATTGGCAGCCAGGAGACCAGCAGACAGCCTAATGGGGGACACAGTGCCACGTAGCGAGGGGCAGGCACCAGGCAGAGAGGCAGGGCCCTGACACAGAGGCTCTGAAGCTGGAAGTTCACAGGAGACAGCTGCTGGAGGCCTGGCACCCACCGTTTCGGGGCGTTTGCTTTGGTTTAGTGGACAACAGGGAGGGCATGCTTTCAGCACGGCTGGATAAGTGAGGTGGGATGGCTTCAGACAAACCTGAATCCTGGCCTTGGCGTTTCCAGGCTGCGTGGATGGGCAGTTGTTTTAACCTCTCTGAACTTTGGTTACTTCATCGGTATACCTGGGATCGCCTGATAGACTTTCCGAAAACCGAGGGAGGAATATATGAGGTAGCACTTGAAAGCTGCCGTGCACAATGTGCCCCACACATGGGTGATTTCAGCATGTGTTAGCTTCCCTTCCAGCACATGGGGCCCTGCAAGTGCGATGGAGGTCTGGGTCCCACAAGCACTTGGGGGGAGGGTTCCCTGAAATCGAACTGCATTTGTCCTTCTGGAGTGACTGAAAGGGAGCCAGCAGTGTTCAGAGGCAACCTTTCACCTGTGAGCTCAGGGTCCTGGCCAGGAGCTACCTCCGCCACGGGGACTGTGGCCGGGGGAATTCATCCTAGTCTGATTTTAACCTGAAGACGTGTGTTTTGTGTGTGTGTGTGTGTGTGTGAGAGAGAGAGAGAGAGAGAGAGAGAGAGAGAGAGAGAGAGAGAGAGAGAGAGAGAGAGAGAGGCACATTGATGTGAGAGGGAAACATCAATTGGTTGTCTCCTATACAGGTCCTGACCAGGGATTGAACCCACAACCTAGTTATGTGCCCTGACTAGGAATTGAACTCATAACCTTTTGGTACATGGGATGATGTTCCAACCAAATGAGCCACCCAGCCAGGGTGGAAGATATTTCTTGGGGTCCAGCTCCTGCTATCTCCTTTAAACCCCCAAGAACTGTATCTATGGTACAAATGTTGGATATGGAAGGCTCCTCTGAATTTTGCTAACTCTCAAATCTGTCTTTGGGCAGAGGCAGGAACTCAGGCTCAGGGAAGCTGTGACTGGTCTTGGGCCGCAGAAGACTGAGGCTATTTTGGGTCTAGATCTCAGCTCTCTTAGCTCCAAGCCCAGCACTCTCGTCTTTTGCCCTCTACCTTTTGGGGTCACTTAAATGCACATCCCTCAGAGTGTGAAGTCTTTCCTCCTAAACTGGAGTGTGAACTCAGATTCTTTGAAGGGATGAAGTACGGATGGTGTTTGTTCCCTAGCCCCATTCTGTTAAATTTATACCATAGATTTCTGGACACCTTCTAACTGACAAAGATTAGCTGTATCAAGGAGCCCTTTCCATTGTCATCTACCTTCCTTGCCAGCCCCAAATCATAAATGAATCCTGGGAGACAAGTTAAAATAAGAATTCTGAAGCCATTTGTTTGGGTTTTTTGGACTCACTTTTGAGGTCATTGTTTCTAGAAACAGAATTTGGTAACTGTTTTGGATTATGCTGGTTGTTCTGAAAAACCAACATGGCTATAAACCTTTCCTAAGAAGGTTGGCTATGTTTTCCAGCTTCTGTATTTATTCAAGTCATAATGGGGTAGAGAGAAAAAAAGATGAGCAGGAAAAAAATGTATCCTGAGTTAAAAATACACAGCCACAGTTCAATGAAGGGAGTTTTTGTTTTTGTTTTTTGGTTTTTTTTTTTGTTTGTTTGTTTGTTTTTTTAATGTCCTTATATTTTTTCCTCAGTGGTTGTATCACTTGATTCCTTTGGGGCAATGAAAGAATTAGAACTTGGCACAGCTGTTCTTAGGGCTCCAAAATGCTGATTAGAGAGAGGCCCTTACAAGGTCCTGTCCATAGCGGACACTGCATATTTGGTAATAAGGTCTGGTATCATATGTTAATGTTTCCCACAGCCCCAGGGAGTGACCAGACCTTGTTTGATGACTGCTCTCTGGGCGCAGCGAGGGACACATTCCCCTCTGTCTCTCTCCAAGTCCAGTTAGAGGTTTAACAGCTCAGCACGAGACTCACTCTTAATTTTCTACAGACAGTGACAAGTTACTTCTTCAGATGTTACTTGTCCTACTTCCGTTTAGTTCCAGGCTCCTAGGTTCTAAAAAACGATTGTCCACAATTTGTCTAAGGAGCCTCCAGTGGGATATTGCTTTAGCTATAGGTTTCCTCTGAGCACTCATTAAGCAGAGAACTCTGGGCCTATAAATTGCTATCTTATTACAACCCCAGGCCTCCTTATTAGGCCCCTAATTATGGCTGTATCTGTGCATCGGGATTGGAACTGGGAGACTTGAGAGGATAGGAAGCTCAAAGACCAATTTGTTGATGCTTGTGTAAAGTTCCTTAAGTGACGAATTCATTTCATTTTTAGGATACCTGCTTCAGCAAGATCTGAAATGCGTGCTGGGTACAAGCTTGTGGATGTAACAGTAGTAAACCTTTTTGCAGAAAATTCAAAAGAAAATGAGATGACCGTATCTAGCGCAATTAAGAAAGCAATTGAAAACAACCGTGATAACTTTACGGACTATGCTAGTAAGTATGAAATAATTTTATTCGAAGTTTACCTGAACACCTACCTACCTTTTTGTAAACTTTCTCATTATATGTAAGAAGTGGGCAAGAAGAATTGGATAATCTACAGATCTCCAAGAATGGGCCTTTTTACATGTCCTTTCTTACACCCTTTCTCCTCTCACTTGCTTTCTATTCTTTTCTAACTCTCCCTCAACTCCTCAAACTGATCAGTTTGTTTCTCTTTTCGGAAGGTAGTCTTGCACAAATAGTCTCTGGACAGGGAAAGAGGAAGCAAGGTGAAACAAGAGGAGTTGTTTATAGCTTTCCAAGAGATTATAGCTTTCCAAGAGATTATAGCTTTCCAAGTTATAGCTTTCCAAGAGATTAGAGCGATTTTACCTACACTGCTTCCCCTTTAGGCGGATACACAAACTCATAGCCTTGCTGTAACAATTCACTTTTGCTGTGTTACAAACCACCCCAAAACTTAGTGGATTATTTACTTATTGCAATGCCATCATTCTGTGGGACATAACTTGGACGGGGCCCAGCTGGCCAGTTCTGCTGATGTAGGCTAGCCATGGCTGATCTCTGCTGGGCTCACGTAGCAATTGCTGTTATTGCTGGGTGGGTGAGCTGGGGCTGACTGATCTAAGGTGGTTCGGCGGGATGGTTTGTCTCTGCTCCACATGGTCTCTCACCCTTCAGAGTTTCAAAGGCAGCGAGAGGGTAAGTTTCAATGCATAGGTATTTCTCAGATTGCTGCTTAGCTGTCGTGGTGGCTAAAGCAATTCACATGACCAAGAGCAGTGTGTCAGGCCCTAGCAAAGGGCATGGGTCCAGGAACGCACGAGCAAACTGACCCCATGACAGCAGTCATCAGAAGTTCCCCATCTCAGAGATGCCAGACATGGTGGAAGCATTGTACAGCTGATTCTCAGTCCTGGCTGCCAAGTCCAAAGGCATCTGCCAAGACATAGTTGGTTTGTCTGCAGCATTTGACACGGGTACTTTCCCGTCCTCTTCCCCCTGCGCCCCTCCCCCCAATCATACTCGCGGTTCCCTTCCTGCCTCCCTCGTACTTTTCTTCGATGTTTCTAAAACTCTTTAGTCTCTTAAAATGTTCACTTTTTAATGATTGTAACCTCCTTGACCTAGGGTCCCAAACTTCTCTTTCTGAAAATATAAATAAGTCCTGCTCATGTATGGCTTTCCAGCACCTCTGCTCTTTCTTCAAGATTTCACAAAGACCCTGACTATTCTCTCAGGACCTGGAGTGTAAATGCTCTGTGAAGAGACATTTAAAGCCCACCAGAAGGGATGGGCGCTCCTCCTGATGTCCGCTCTCCTTGGGCTGCAGTCCCGCCAGCCATGTCCATTCAACTCTTTCCGTCTAAGTGTCATTTTCTGGCAGGAAGACTGGAGTGAATTGTAGTTGGGGAGTCATTCTGTTTGTCTTATGTTTTCCATCAACATTATACCAAGCAGGCCTGGCCTCTCCTTGAGTCCCTATAGCATGGAAAACACATGTGTACACACACACATGCACATGCACACACACACACAACCCTCCATTCGTTTACCCATTTTCCCACTTCATCCCTTTGCTCTTTGCTACTGGATTTTGTTGTAGTTTTGCGTGTGGCTTATTGGGCTCTTTGGGGGCTCTAGCCTTCCTCTCACACTTTTAATATTCTGTCTTTGGTTTTGGGACCTTCTTTCCACGTTTGTTTGTTTTGTTTTTGTTTTATGTCTCATGTGACAGCTTCCTCTGCAAACCATGCCAGTTTCTATTCCCTGACACACATTTCCTTTTTACAGCTCATTTAGCAACTGCACAGTTAGAGTGGCATCTTCAGAGCTTCTGACATTCTCGAGTTGCATTCATCTTCCAAGCCTCGTGCCACAGAGTTACACCTTTTCCCGTCTGAACATTCCAATTTTTTACTCTGTCAAAGTCATACTCCTCTCTCTCTGGCTATCACTTAGTTCTCGTGTTCCAAGGGACCCATCACTGCTACCTGCCCATCGATTTCTCCTGCGCCCAGAATTTGCTGCAGAGCAGCAACTCATGCCATCCCACCCTGGGAGGTGAAACTGTCAGCAAGGCTAGATGAACCTCAGCATACACTCTGCTTTTGGCTAGATGAGACTGCTAGCAAGTGCGAGGAAGCCGAGGGGCCCCAGCAGCATGGAGACTAACCACTCAGAGTGGTTGCCAGCTGAAAATAACCAGTGCCTTCTTCAAGATAAAGTCGGGGTCCCCTGTGGAATTCTCTCGTTTGGGCTCTCCTCTGTAACCGCCTTGGCTTGAAGCCCTGGCACACTTGAAACCATTTGACCTCGGCTCGGGAATTGCTCTCTCTTGACAGCTCCTCTCAACATCTCTCCACTCGGAGGCCAGGCATGCGCTCTTACATACATTAACAAATTACCGAAGGACGCCAGTTAGACGTGGCCACAGCAGCCTGCACGCCCAGCAAAGGGAAGTGAGAGGCTTGGAACTTTTAGGGGAAAACACCTTTTTCTGCTTCCTGCTTCTGCTGCAAAGACAGGGCCTGCCTTCTGTGTCAAAAGTTGTAGAATTCTTTTCTCTAGACTTTTAATCGGAGGCATTTTAAAATAGCACGAAGGAAGCTTTGTGACAGGTCTGGGGTGTTTAGAAGAGAGTAGCCACATAACTGTTCTACCTCCTATTCTCTCCTCCTCGTCTAGTCTCAGATTCATCTTTTTATTCCGAATGCCTTCCAACCTGCTTCTAGAGTAACATTCTTTTATTGATTTTTTACAGAGAGAAAGGGAGAGGGATAGAGAGTTAGAAATGTCAATGAGAAAGAAACATCGATGAGAGAAACATTGATCAGCTGCCTCCTGCACTCCCTCTACTGAGGATGTGCCCACAACCAAGGTCCATGCCCTTGACCAGAATCAAACCTGGGACCCTTCAGTCCACAGGTCAATGCTCTATCCACTGAGCAAAACCTGTTAGGGCTAGAGTAACATTCTTTTCAAATTTATTTTTCAGCTACAGTTGACATATGGTATTATATTAGTTTCAAACGTGCAGCATAATGATTAGACATTTATGTCTTACAAAGCGATCACCCTATAAGTCTAGTACCCATCTACCACCATAGAGTTATTACAGTATTATTGTCTATGTTCCCTGTGCTGCACTGTACATCCCTGTGACTATTTTTATAACTGGCAATTTGCACTTCTTAATCCCTTTGTCTTTTTCATCCAGTCCCTCATTTCCCCTCCCATCTGGTAATCATCAATTTGTTCTCTGTATCTATGAGCTTGTTTCTGTTAGTTTATTTTGTTTTTTAGATTCCACTTATACATGAAATTATATGGTATTTCTTCTTCTCTTTCTGATTTATCTCACTTGAGGAAATATCCACTAGGTCCACCCATGTTGTCACACTTGGCAAGATTTCATTCTTCTTATGGCTGAGTAATATTCCCCTGTGTATATGTATATCACCTATTTATCCATTCTAGACAAACATTCTTCAAAGATGGCTTTTTCACGCCATGCTCCTACTCAGAATCTACCAGTGGATTCCCAGACTTATGGGATAAAAGTCCTCGTCCTTAGCCTAGCATTCAAACCCTGCTACACCTGTGAATGAACAAAAGAATGATGATTTGTTGAGACTCCGACAGTGGGTGTGCACTTACATTAGCTCACTCAGTTCTCACAACAATCATGTGAAGTAAGAATTACTCGCCCCATCTTATAGATTGAGGGAACTTGGACCCTCCCAAAATCAAATGATTGAACAGAGAGAGCCGATAGCCAAGATCCTAAATGGCATAGCCAAGAATTTTCTATTCTTTTCCCCTTTTACCACATTGCCCTTCCCCTACCCACATACAACAGCACTACTCCCGAACAAGAATTCTTTGCTTCTGTTCATGCCTCATTTTCTCTACTTAGAAAGACTTTGCCTCTCCTCTGTCTGTTCAAATCTTCCCCCTCTTTCAAGGCAGCCCAATTCCCATCTCCTCCATGATGTTACCTTTAGCAACTTGAGCCCCTAATGTTCCATTGGACTTAAAGTCTGGATTTGCTTGGAACAACTCTCTATGGGTTCAAGTGTGTCATTCTACAAAGATGGGACCCAAAAGTTCCCTTGTGGAACCCAGCATCGAGCGAGGTACAGAAGGTATCTCGAACTGGAACATAATTGCACTGCTTTCGATGCAATTAATTAGAATTGAATAATGTAAGGAAATCGTCATGGAAGAGAGGATTGGGGAGTCCCAGATTTTCATTTGTTAGATCCTCAAACTATTAAAAGACAGTTATAACAACACATATATTTTGGAATTACTTGTGCCCCTCAGCACAAGATCGATGTGATTTCTACGGTTGTGAGAAGGCGAATGACCAAGACGACTGCAGGGACTTCTTACAGTGCAAGTGCAAACCGGGGCTATCAAGGCCCAACCCACAGACCGCTTTGTGTCTTGGTAAGTGTCCCCTGTGCTTCTAAATGTTCTGCACAGCCCTGCCCGCTCTCCTGTCCCATCTGCAAAACACAGACTCTCCTGCTCACGTGTCCAGGTGCAGCTCAGGTGCGAGGGCTGTGACATTTGGCTCCAGACACAAGTCTGAAGTGGGGCTTGGCCGAGCGCTGGTGTGGCGGACCCCAGGCAGCTTCTCAGGGCACGCCCTGTGCACAGCCCAGGAGCACCCTATAAGTCTAGTACCCATCTAGTACACCTCATTTTGCCTAGAAAAAGAAATGTGAAAAAAATTGCATTGTGTGACATATCACTTTGGGGTTAAAGAGGTTGGTTCTGAAGGTGACCCGGAATTCACTCTGTTTTGAAGCTTTGGGTCCAAAGTGTCCCGATAACTGCAATGCAGAGCACAACATGCAGTGCCTGGTGCGGAGCGGTGGGAGCCCTGAATGCGTGTGCCTCTCCGGCTACCAGAAGGATGCACAGGGGAGCTGCCAAGCGTAAGAGAAACCATCCCCTTTCTATCCTGCCATGGCTGGAGCTGATGTATGGGGTAGGGGATAAGGACAGGGCTTGCAACCTGGCTTAGGGTCAGGGAGCTGGTATCCTTATGTTAGTCAGTAGATGCCACTCTGTTGACTGATGAGCCATGTGCTGGGAGCTTCTCATACAACAGCACCATCAGGAACATGCCAGTCCCCCATTTGCAGGTGAGGAAAGTGAAGCTCAGAGGATATCCATCCTTTTCTTCAGCTCAAGGGGCAGCAAATACGTGCAGAGACCCATGTCCTCCCAGCCCGAGGGGGTCCCACTCTGCTCCATGCCTCTGGGGTTCCACTCCCCCGGGATTGCTGAATATTCCCGAAGATCCAGGGATGGAGTATTCAGTCAGTAGAAAATGAGACCACCTGAGATTATGTGACCCCCCCCCCCAAAACCTTCTAGAGCTCCATGGAGGATGCTCATTGGGAGAATGGGACTGTCAGGAAGGAGAGAGAAAGAGGAGAAAGAACAAGAGAGGGGAGGACGAGAGAACGGTGGAAAGTAAGATGTGGGGCGGGGAGGGAACTCTGACATGCTCCCACACGCTCTTTACCATGGTCTCCTGTCATGTGTTGTATCTTAGGTGTCCATTTGGCTACAGTGGAGTCAACTGTGAAGACGGTGAGTAGAAAAGTCTTGCTTTGTTGCTAAGCACCTGAAAAGCACACATTAATCCCAGTCAGAACTCAGCCTGGCCCCCCACAGCCCCTGGCTCCATCACAGACTGGGAGGGACCTGCCTACAGCGTGTCCTCGGGGTGATGCCAGCCCATCCCCCCGCTGGTCCCAGGCAGCAGCCCCTCTGTTGTGGGAAACCACAGAGCTCGGCCCGAGAGGTGGGCAGGCACCTCTGGACCAGTTCCCAGTCAGCCACGGGCACCCTACCGTCCTCTTCATCTTCCACAGTCGCTTAACGATGGTGCGTTTTCTGCTACCGGAAAGGACAAAAGACCAGTGTGTTCCACACATACTTGTGGTTGTGGGAGAGGAGAACTAGACTCCAGACATTTCAATGCTGAGCTAGTTTCCAGAGCTGCTTAGTAGTTTGGGATCTGTTGTTGCAAATTCAATGGCTTCATTTCCTCCCACCCCTCACACCCACCAGATTGGGACAATACTAACTTCACTAGTATATTTTAAATTACTTTATATTTAAATTTTTACAAAAGGATCCAAGATGAGATCCAAAGTTAGTGATGAGCACTGCTCTCAGTTTCTACATATTTGCTGGCGGAACTGGATATATTAAGTCATTTCTTCCTGCTGGGCTTTCGGTGTCCACACCTATAGAGTAAGAAGGTCAGGCTGGGTGACCTTGGAGGTGTAATGGTTTATGGCCCCATGAACCCAGGCGGAGGCGTACATGACAGTCACGTTGCAAAGAGAGAAAGGGTCCAGGGCAGCACTATCTAATAGAAACATAACGTGAGCATCCTATTTAATTTCAAATTGTAAAATTCTGAGCAAATTTTTAAAAGTAAAGAGAAATGGATCTTAATGACATTTTATTTCACTCCATATACCAAAGATGTTATCACTTCAACATGTAGTGAAACATAAGAATTATTCACGGGATAGTTCACAGTATTTTCGAGTGTGTTTGAAATCCGCTGTGCATGCTACACTTACCGGCCACCACATAGCCGTATTGCAAGTGCTCAGCTAGACAATGGATCTGGAGAGGGAGGAGGTGGTAATGAACCTGCAGTCTCTCCCCTCACCGGTTCTCCCAAGCCATTGCCTATCTCCTTTATGAGTGACAACTTAACTCCAACCTACTGGGTCCCCCCGCTTATCGTCCAGGTCAGGTGTGGTGGGCAGCCAAAGGCAGTAGAGCTCAGTGTGGTCCTCCGTTGAGATCCCATCCCCCACAAAGCCTTTGGCCTCCATGGCCGCCTTTGCGTTTCTGGTCTTTTATCTGGAAAAGCTTCCTCTTTTGATTGAGTTCTGCAGATACGGTTGGGGTTTGGAGGTGGGGGGAGAGGTGAGGGACCCGTCCAAACTGATCCCAGAGGGGTCCGAGCTGAGAGCCTGCTTGGGTGAGCCCCGGAGCACATGCACCTGTGCAGGAGACAGACAGTGGGGGCTTGCTTGTAGGATACTGCTCTAATCTTCTCTATTCCCTTCCAGAACTTCAGCTGATTCTCACTATCGTGGGCACCATTGCTGGCATCCTCATCCTTGGCATGGCGATTGCACTTATCATTCTGAGGTATGGAATGGAAGTGTCCCTGTCCTGGGGCACAGCGCCACTGGCATCACACTCTGGTTTGCAAAACACACACAGCCTTTCCCAGGCAAGAGCAGGGACAGACATGAGCGAGGCTTCTCTAAAACCATGGGGTGTTTTTTCTTACCTTCTGATTACATAAGCTCTACATGATCATTGCAGGAAGTCTGGAAAACAGAGAAGGGTCTAAAGGAGCAGAATAAAACCACCCACAAATCCCACCACTCAGAGGCAACTAGCATTTTGGCATATACCCTTCTGGGTTTTTCTCTATCTTTTTAAAGGATGTAATATACATACTAGAGGCCCGATGTATGAAATTCATGCAAGGGGCTCAGCCCTCACAGCCCTGGCTTCATCTAGAAGTTTGTCCGGAAGGACATCTGGAAGGTCTTTCCGCAGTCTGGTCTAATTAGCATATTATACTTTTATTATTATATAATTTTGTGTCCTTTGTGTTTAAAAAAGTACTTGTTGAAGTTATTTTTGCTTAACACTGTAATGTGGCATAACAGCCATTTTCTTGTGTCATAAAAACTCTTTGTGAACAGTATTTAACTCCACTGATGTTGTCAAATGTCATTTCTATGAAGTCAGTTCCCAGCCAGGGCTTTGCTGCAGAGAATGGAAAATAGCCTCAACTGGAGCTCATGGGTTTTGGGTAGAAACGTTTTCTCTCAGCTAGAGGTCTTATGTGCTCTTCTTAAGAACTTAAGTAGGGCCAATTTATTAATTCTAGAAGTAATTATATACTCTAAATACCCTTCTTTAACAGGGAGAGAAAATGCTATTAACCATTCCATTCTTGTTTGTTTGGTTTTTGTGTTTTTGGTTAATCCTCACTTAAGGATATTTTTCTTTCATTGATTTTTTTAGAGAGAGCGAAAGGGAGAGGGAGAGACAGAGAGAAACATGTTGTGAGAGAGACACATCAACTGGTTTTCTTCTGCTTCACCCCAACCAGAGCCAGGGAACCTGCAACCAACGTACATGCCCTTGATTGGAATCAAACTTGAGACCCTTCAGTCTGAGAGCTGACACTCTAGCCACTGAGCCAAACTGGCGAGGGCCATCCAGTCCATTCTAAAGGTGCCAAGTGGTGAGCCACTTAAACAGGAAACAATCTACTTTTTAAAAAGGACATTTAGCTCATACCTTACATTTTGGCAAAGTATTTTTGCACTCTAACGTGTGAGGATATGTAGATTCATAGGTTCCTAGAATATTTTGTTTTTTTCCCTATTTTAAAATTTCACTTTGATATTACCTCTTCCCCAGAGACCATTATAAGGACAAAAAGCTGGGAACTGGGACTGGATCCATCCCTTTTCCAGACAGAGAGCTGGAACATTCCCATCACGGCCCACAGCTGTCTCCTTCTTTTTTTTTATTTATTTTTTTATTTTATTTTTTTTATATATTTTATTGATTTTGTACAGAGAGGAAGGGAGAGAGATAGAGAGTTAGAAACATCGATGAGAGAGAGTCATCGATCAGCTGCCTCTTGCACACCCCTACTGGGGATATGCCCGCAACCAAGGTACATACCCTTGACCGGAATCGAACCCGGGACCTTTCAGCGCCCAAGCCGACGCTCTATCCATTGAGCCAAACTGGTTTCGGCAGCAATCTCCTTCTTAAGAGAAGACCAGCTCTCTGTGCTGGGCCTCCAGGGCCCGCTGGGGCTGCTGTGGAACCTTGTGGCCCGGGACAGCCATGCCCCCTTCTTCCTCTGTGCTCTTCACTCAGCCTCAGATTCCTGGTTCTTGGGAACACACCACAGGGGGTACTTCCTGGCCATTTTGAAGGGAAGGCAGCCTCTCCTCAGGCCCCTGAGACAGGAGTTGTCAGAGGGCAGGAGCTCTATCGTGGGCTGGGCTGGCCTTTAGGGTCCAGAGTGAGTGGGTCTTCCCTTAGGACATTCTCAGTGTTGGAGGAAGAGTGACTGTCAGCCTGGGAGGGCCCTGTGGGCGTCATGGATGCAGCTCTCCCCAAATCCTACTTCTGTCGTCTAGGGCAATGGTGGGCAAACCGTGGCTCGAGAGTCATGGTTTGTCACTCTGTTGACTAATGAGTTGGCTGACCACTGAAACTAGACTAAATGTTACCGTGTAGCTCACATGTGTCAAACACAAGGCCCGCGGGCCAAATCCGTCCCGCCAGGCCTTGCAATGTGGCCTGCACCGCGCTGTCATCACTGCACTCCGCTGCGTTTCCATCACAATGACAGTTTATGACTGTTCAGTAAACCATTCGGCCCGCGATTTAGGCTGGATTTTAGATTTTGGCCCCTTCTCTGATTGAGTTCGACACCCCTAGTGTAGCTGGAAGCTGTGAGGATTAGGCAATTGTGGCATACTGTGTGCAAAGAGGTAAAGGGTAGTATATGACAGTGGTCGGCAAACTCGTTAGTCAACAGAGCGGCAACCAGTGGCTCACAAGCCGAGGTTTGCCGACCACTGGTCTAGGGCACTGCAGAGACAGGTCTGTGGCCCGAGGGACAGAAGGAAGAATAGGGTCACGATCAGGGTGAATTGGGGCAGATGCCTCCTCCACCTGCAAGCACTTCGCTGGCTTGAAATGCTTATCCCCGAGAGGCCAATACGGAAAGGTAGTAAGACCTGTATGCCTTGAACTTGTTTCCTTCACTGACGTGCTTCTATAGACATAGACTTTGCTTGAATGGAAAAATGTATCACAAACCATCTTTCCTCTTTGACTTCTTTTGTTATTTCCATAAATAATTCAAAAGGACACTTAAGAATACTAACTTTAGCAAAATCTACATGGCTTGGTGGAATTAGATGGTAATGTCGGATCCGTGTTAGCCCTCTGGTTTTGATGGTCACACGAAGCTTATGAGGAGACAATCCTCAGACTTACTACCGACTTTACACTGAAATATTATAGGTAATAGGACATCAGATCTGCGACTTATGCCTAAATGGTTCAGAAATGTTAACAAGTGGGGAATCTGGGCGGTGATGTATGAGAACTCTGCAATATAATTACTTTTTTTTTTTTGGTAATTCACATGTAAATTTTTAAAATATTTGCAAATTTTAAAACATTAAAAAAAAAAGAGTATTGGCATTACCATTTGCTTTCAGGAACTTTCTGCTATTGTCAGATCCTAATTCCCGTTATTAGTTACAGATCAAAGAAGAATAAGGATGTTGAAGAACAGAACCTGATTGAGAACAACTTTCTGAGGATGAGGACAACAGGCTTCACAAATCTCGGAGCAGAAGGGAGCATCTTCCCTAAAGTCCGAATCACCCTCCAGGACGGCCCCTTGCAGAATTCCTACTGGCAGGATCCCTACTTACCGAGAAGCATGCCCCGCCCCGACTACTAGGTGAGTCCCTGGGCTTGGTTTGGCCTTCCTGAGTGTAAGGCCCGAGAGCAGAGTAGGGACTTGGCTGGTGTATGTTCACCAAGCTCTGGCTGCTTTTTTTTTTTTTTTTTTTTTTTTTTTTTCCTTATCAAAAGAAAAAGAGCAGAAGAAGCTCTCTGCTGTTGTAAATAGCCACTATTTGGTCCCTAACACTGACCATCTTTGTGACTTTACCTACATCCCTTAATTCCTTCACCAACTATTTCCTCAACAACAACAAAATAATATCAATAATAATAATAATAATAATAATAAACAACTTAATTTAGATTCCCTTAAGGTCCCTTGAAATTGCAAGCTTCTGTGGTTATGACCGCTGTGGTTTTGTGGGGGTATTACAATTCCCAGGCTGTTTAAGGACCCAGGACACAGGCCAGGCCTGAGGAGGACTGTTGGAGGTAAACATGGTTCTGTGGATCCTTTCCAATCAGACCATGTGACCCCCCGCTTCCTGCCCCCACCTGACTTCAAGGTAACCTGACCACTTTCAGGGCATGGGACCAGCTCAACCAACTGAGCTGATCACTTTCTAAAGAGAAAAGGCGCGTTTGGCTGGCGGTCCTGTATTTCCCAGGGAAGGTCTGTCAAGGAGAATGAATGGCTTGTACTCATTGGATTTGTAGCTGGTGTTGCTCAGTGTAATTGATCCAAAGCAAATGCTGAAAGAAGGAAGCCTGTAAGAGGTGATTCTCATGGAGAGAGTGACCAAGGGACTGAGATGGACAGAGGAGAGATGGTGAAGGAGGAGGACATGGGAGTGGGGGAGGGGAGGGCAGAGAAGAGCCAGAAATATGAAGGCAAGGAAAAAAATTATACTTTTCTTTTTGCTAAAAAAGAATGACAAGGGGAGCAAGGGAAAGAAGAAAGGGCTAGGGTGAGGCTTACCCAGAGGAGTAGAAAAATAGAGGATAAAGGAGGATCCAGAGGGGGTGGAGTGGCTGAGGTGGGCAGGCATAGGCTCCGAGGTCTCTGTGGGGACATTTCAACTCTGCGGCTTCCCAGGGGAGCACACTGCCCTTTGAGGATCTGAGCATGCTGGGGAAACGTGCATTTTATTTTGTGCATCAACTTTCCTTACCAAGGAAATCCAAGTGTTTAATGTGATTTATGTTGTGCATCAACTTTCCTTACCAAGGAAATCCAAGTGTTTAATGTGAGTACGAAGGGATGACTTGAACCATAGGCACCATGTTGGGTCAGATGCGGGCTAGCCAGCAATAGCCACAAACAGATGTTCTTGGGGAGTGCCTGTTGGCCCCACCTAAGGTGAACCCAAAACACCAAACTCATTAGAGACCTCCTCTCCTCCTTATCAGTGGAGCCCTCACTTTAAGTATAACCTCTAAAGAGAGTCCTTTCATGGTGGAATAAGTGTGGGATTAAGAGTCAGCCAGACCTGGGTTCAAAGCCTCGCCCTTCCCGTTACTGGTTCTGTGATCTCAGACAAGTTCATTTGTTTTCTCACCTATGAAATGGGCAAAACGCATCCTAGCTCACAGGACAAAGATCTCACACAGTGACAGGTTCTAGTTTAAAAATAGTATTCAAAGAATGTTCATCAGAATAATGTTAATAATTTTGCATCTAAATTCCCCCATGTTTCTATTGGGACACTACCTTTCTAAGAGTTTTTCTTTCTCTTTTTTTGTCTAGGAAGGTAAAACAGTTGGAACCATCCAGGGCCCGTAACTCAGTGTCTGAGCTTTTCTTTGACTAAGAGACTGGTGGAGCCGTGAGGAGCAGTGAAGACCTGGCCTGGTATTGTTCTCCCACCTGACATCCAGCCTCTCTGAGTGGAAGTTGGGAATGTTGGCAATGACGACAGCTTGTTTGCTATCTAAGTCCCTATGAAATTAAAGACACTCGAATGCTATTAGCACTTTTAAGACAGTTGATTTTCTTTCATCAGTACAATGGTTAGGGTTTGTTGTTTGTTGTTTAGTATATGTATTTGTGGTTTGTTGTTTGGTATATGTATTTTTTTCCTGGTGGACAACAATAACCATTTCCAATCTAGAGGAAAGTTTCCAAGATTGTTTACTCCTGGGGGAATGTTGCTCTTGAGTTGATAGCCTGCAGATGATGAGAGATGCTCACACAGCAGCTGTGGGGGTGCCGTTGGAAGAGACACCACCTGTAAGGTTCTTCTATCCCTCAGCTGTAGGGATTGCATTGCTCTTGAATTGCCGGTGCCTGTGACATGGCCTCACACCAAGAAGACAGAAAACAGTCGTGTCTCAGATGTCTGGAGGAGCGATGGAACACCGGACCTTTTTGTGAATTGGAAGGCTTGGACTAGCAGTGTCCATCGAGGGGTGCATTGTAGAGTTTTCGAAATGCCAGTAGGTGAGAGAGGCAGGGAGAAAAGTCATGAGCAGGAGCAGGAGGGACAGCGGCAGAAGGAAGCTGGACTGGGAGATGAGTGAGGACAAGGTGCCTTCGTCCTCAGCTTCCACTCGTCGGTGAGCAAATAGGCACTTCCTCTAGTGCTTCCCCTACCCAAGGCCCAGAGCCCAGGGGAAGGTGTGAAGACAAAAACCTCAGGGGAAAGAGCTTGAAGACACATTGACATTGCAGACATCCTGACTGGCTGGTGGTGGGAGAGGGAGCTTGTGCTCTGGATCCGGATATCCAGCCTTGTGATGCGGGTTCCAGAGGCCCTTCACCGAGGCCTCCGCCTTCCCTGGCGACAGAGGCCTAGCTGTGGACGCCACACACCCAAGAAGCCACCTCTAGCATGGCCTGTCTTTAATGTCAGCAGCGTCCTTGTGTATGTCTGATGTCTGGTGCCCTTGCAAGTTATTTTTATTTGTTGTTACTATTGTTTCTGGTTGACTGTTCATGTGAAAGCTAACAAATAAAGTGTCTTTGTTAGATGGCGTCCTTCTTTGTGTCCCTTGTGTTGGGAGCTTTTGGTGCTGCGCACGCAGCAGCCAGTCTCACTTTCAGTAGCAACCATGACACATGGCTCGGCAGCCTGACACCTGCTGTCCTCCTCAGGGGCTGTGGGATGACCCAAGGTGTTTTTAAACTGATAGTAGATGCTTTCAGCTGCTTCCTGGTGCACATCCCACTCCCCTCCCATTAGGAGACAGTCAAGCCCTTCCGGTGGGAATGATTGGAGCCTCAGCTCCCAGGGGCTGGCTTTAGTTAGCCTGAGCCAATCAGCAGAACCCCATCCCCCCTTGCTAGAGTGACTGACTGAAGAGGGAATTACATGGCATAAATGGATGTAATTAGAATGAAGGCCAGACTGGGGCAGGAGGCTTGGAGGAAGAGAAACACGTTCTTCTGGAGAATGGGCTAGAGGAGGTGAAGCCTCGAACTGCTCCCGTTTTGCTGACTGACGAAGAGGAAGACAGAGCTGAGGAAACCACGGGAATACAGAGCTGGAGTATATAACCAGGCCATTTCTAAGGCCTCTGGATTCTCCTGTGAGGCCAGGTTGAGAACAGGCGTACCTCGAAGATGTTATGGGTTCGGTTCCAAACCACTGCAATAAAGCAAGTTGTAAGCTTTTTGTTGGTGAAGGGTCTTGCTTTCAATTTGTAAAAAAATGCAACATCTGTGGAGTGTAGTATACTAACGTGAAAAAAACAAAACAAAACAAAAAAAAAACCGAGGTAAGTCTATTTAGCCTTGTTCTCAATTTCTGCTTCACAGTTTCTGAAACCCGGAATTTCCTAAGTGTTGAGAGTGAAGGAAGGGAAAAAAAAAAAAAAAAAAAAAAAAAGAGTAACTTTTGTTATGCTAATGAGGCGACTTTTAGAAAGCGCTCTTGCTGAAGGAACCAATGGAGCCAACCATGTGATTGGAGGGTTGGAACTTTCAGTCCCACCCCTAAATCAGCCGCCAATGGCCAGTGATTTAATCAATCATGACTAGATAACTGAAGCCCCCATAAGAACCCACTAGGCCAGGGTTTGGAGAGCATTGGGGTGGGGGTAAGGGGGTGGACAGTAAAGATTGAGGGAGTGTAGCATACCTAGAGGACATGCATCTGCCCCTTCCCACATACCTTCCCTTTGCACCTCTCCTGTCTGGCTGTTCCTGGGCTAAATCCTTTAATAAACCAGTGACCTAGTAAGTAATGTTTCTCTAAATTCTGTGAGCTGTGCTAGCAAATTCTTTGAACCCAAGGAGGGGTGGTAGGAACCTCTGATTTGTGGCCAGTTGGTCAGGAGTACAGATGACAACCTGGAGTTGTGATTAGCCTTCTGAGTTGGAGGGGGTTGTTGGAACCTCCAGTCTGTGGCTGAAAGATGAAACAGAGGGGCCGGAGAACCAGGACACAGGCTTCATCGGAGGAGAAGACCCATCTGCCTGGCTGCCTTCCAAAGGAGAAGGAGCACACATGCTGGGGTGAACACTCCTTCTGAGGGGAGCAAAGGGAAGGGATGGGGCTTAGGTACTAGGCACATGCTGATTGGTGATTTCATATAAGGCACATGATTAGGGACTTAGGGTATTTGGCAGGTGCTGATTGGTGGTTCAATGTACAGTCCATAGAAGGTACCTAGTTAGGTGTTCAGAAATGTTCGGACTGCAAGTGGAATTTAGGTCATTCCCCGTCCATCAGAAGGGGGAAGGGAGGATCTATCAGTAGCCAGTAGGTCAGAGCACAGTGTGCAGCTGGTGGCTGAAGTGGGTGGAGGTGGGGAGCGGGACAGTCTTGCAGGCCTGAATCCTTAACCCGTGGAATCCGATGCTAGCTCCAGGTGGATAGTGTCGGAACTGAGTTGAATTCTTGGACACCCTGCTGGTTTCTGAGAACTGATTGTTGGTGTGAGGGAACACCATGGTAGATTTTGGCCTCAAACCCAGTTTACTTAATAAACCACATGTGTCAAACACAAGGCCCGCGGGCCAAATCCGTCCCGCCAGGCCTTGCAATGTGGCCCGCACCGCGCTGTCATCACTGCACTCCGCTGTGTTTCCATCACAATGACAGTTTATGACTGTTCAGTAAACCATTCGGCCCGCGATTTAGGCTGGATTTTAGATTTTGGCCCCTTCTCTGATTGAGTTCGACACCCCTATTATTATTATTAAGTAAACCTTTGTGTGGAGGGTTTTGGGGGGTTTGTTTGTTTGTTTAAGTGCAGGGATCTCTCTGACCTTGAGAAGGGCATCCTGGGATCACAGGTTTAACACAGGACAGGAGCATATACATGCCATTCTGCTGATCTCTCACTAGATGGAAAGTTCTTTGAGGTGAGCAAGGGATGACGGCCACTGGTCTCAGCACACATTGGAGTCACCTGACGAGATTTTAAAATCCCTGATGCCTGGGCCCGGGGCCCTTGCCAGAGCACTTCACTGGTGTAGGGTAGGCCGGAGAGTCCTGATTTTTAAGCTCTCCAGGTGATTCAAATGTGCAGAGGCGTTTGAGATTCACTGCTTTAGGTCTCCACCAAGCCCCAGGTCACATCATTCCCCATTCCTTCCCCTCAAGAGGCTAGAAATCAGAAGCCCATTATGCAAGAAGCTTCCGTGGGCTCAACATCCCCACGGAGGAGCAGGTTAGGCGTAAAGAGTAGGCTTGCACACCAAAACAGCTTGAAAGAGATCTTGGGGGAATCTTGCGCCTGAACCACCATCTTACTTCTCTTACTTCTTCCTACCCGTTGGGCTAATTCTGGGGCCAGTAGGTGGCGCTATCTCCTATGCCTTACAGGAAACTCAACTTCCTGCAAGAGGACTCTTAAAGGGCTTGTTTGAACTCGTTAATTTGTAATCCACCAATTCAAATACATTTCCCTTGACATCTCTTAGTCTCTCCGCTCCTCGCTCTCCTGCCAGGGAAACATGAATGCTACTCAGCTCATTCTTATTGCAGTGTTTGCCTGATTTTTCCTGGATCGTTGGAGATCATACATTGTTTTTTTTTATTGGCCCTGTAATAGTATTGAAGTAGTGTTAATGCCATATTAATGGTGCATGAAATGTGGCATAATTGTTTAGATAATCTATGTTTTATTTAAGGGTGATTTTTTTCAAAATAAGAAGGGAGATGAATCAATTTTTCACTGAAATCCATTTTTTAATATAAAAACAACTATACCACCAGTGGGAGGTCTGTCTCTCATTAGCTTTTAGGAGGTGAGCAAGGTCTGGCTGAACTTTTTTTTTTAGAAAATGAGTTTGGGAGAGCTCAGGGGCACAGTATGGAGTTTCTCAATCTCTAGGCTGTGAAATTTTTCTTTTATTTAAAGACAAAAGCAAAGCCTCAGAATTCCTGCAGGCCCAGTAACATCTTTTCTGAGCCCACAGTCATGATGCGTGGTCCAATAAGAGAATCCTCTCCTGCTCACAGAAGAGAGCCACTTTGAAAAACAATGATAATAATAGTTCATATATTGTGGAGTGCTTCAATGTATGCCAGGCACAATTCTTAGTTCTTTGCATATGTTAACCCCTTCAATTCTCATGATAATCATGAAGTAGGTACCATTATGAATTCTGTTCAGCTGTTGGGAAAGTTGAAGCCAGAAACACCCGAAGTCACATATGTGGTAAGAAACACAGCTAGGGTTTGAAGCCAGGCAGTCCAACTGCAGAGCCTAGCTCTCTGTCATTTAATGCCATGAAGGGTATTTCAATGGTCAGTAGGGACAATGCAGCCTATATTTGAAACTGAGATGTTCCCATATTTTACAAGCCCTGGTGCCTGATGAAAATAGAACTTCCTGGAGCTTATAGGTTAAAAAGCCTTTATTACCAAAAATGAAAAATTCTGTCTAAATTTATACAATTATGAAATGGTTCAAATTTCAAAAAATAACTCTCTCCATTTAAAGTAATTCATTTAAATGCATATGCAAAATGGCTGCTGCTTTTTAAAAATATGTATTTTTTATTTATTTCAGAGAAGAGAAAAAAGGAAAAGCAGAGAGAGAAACATCAATGATGAGAGAGAATCATTG